TGCCAGTGATTTTTCCAAGGTACGAAACGAGCGTCAAGACTGCTAGCAAGATGATGAAGCATTGATCAAAGAAGATGAGGCATGAGACTTCAGAACTGGACCTGTTCTAAATCGAAATTCAATATAGTCTTTAAAAAAAATATTCTGTTAAACTAAGAAACTAAGAAAAATCTGAGAAAAACTTAGAAAAATTCCATTGAAATGACAAAACTGTGTCAAACTGTCATAAATTTTGTTCCTCTCTAATAAAATAAATAAACCGGAATAAAAATAAGACAGATTCTATGAAACGAAGTTAGCAGAGCTTAGAAAAGTTAGCAAATCGAAAAGAAATATTTCGGTCAATAAAGTCGTATACATTTCTTGCCAGTGCCACCCACGAATGGACTTCGTCAGTATGATGGTAGCAGCAGTTCGTTTTTTAAGGAATTTTCTTGGTATTTTAGCAACGAAGATATGAGAAGAGAACCTGTTCTGAAGTAGTTTCAGTTGCTGTTCCCACTAAAGTTTTCGCTTGTCCTTTGCCTTGACTCTTCGTTCCTACTCCACCCAGTATCACACTCACAATCGATCGATTCATTGCCTGCAACAAGTGAATTTTAAACGAAGAAAAAGCGCAAACTCTGAAATCAGGAAATGATGAAAACGACATTTCTACACACTTCGATACATGCAAAAAATCGCAAGTTTGCCCTTTAGAGTGATTCCAGGTATCCCTACAGTCGAATTCCTGACAGCTACGCAGCGAAGTAGATACTATTTAGAAAGAAACAACAAATCACCTACTCGATGAGGTCCTCAAGACGACCTAGGATCAACGATATTCACGAGGTGACACTCCGCGCACGCCTTATACATTTCAGAACCACTAAAATCCTTTCAAGAATCGAAACTTTGCTTATTTCTGTAGAATCCCTTCAGAGGACGAAACGAACGCTAGGACCGTTAGAAAGCTGACCAACAGGTGGACAAGGCAAGACAAAATAACTGGAAAAGTTGGCAGCTTCGTGGATGGAGTACCAATCCGTGAACTAACAGCTGTTTCAGGTACAAATGATACATACTTTGCACATGATATAGGACAAAATAGCACCAGATGTCCCAATAAGTGCACCAACAATCGTTAGCAAATCGTTGTTAAGCATAAATCCTTCAGCACACAATGCCCAACCACTGTAGCTATTGAGTACGGTGATCACAACTGGCATATCGGCTCCTGAACGAAAAAAGATTATCACTGTACAGTTATTAGTTTGACAATTACGATTTTTGATCGATAAATGAGAAGCGCTGAGGGAATTCGTAATGGGGCAGACAGTGCAAGTTTTAAAAGTCAAAATTTCGAGGGTGACCAGAAACGAATTTTACTTCGTCAGCAAGGCATCTCACCCACAGGCAGATCCAGGAAGAGAGAGGGAGGAGATGAGTTTTTCGCCCGCAGGTAGCAATGCCACAAAAGTCCACGTCTAAAGCTAAAACTGAAGAAAACTCCCCTCCCCTCATAACCACCCTCTTCTCCTCCATTAGGCCGTCCTAGATCTGCCTATGATCTTGATAGCTTCTATAATTTGATGATTCATTTCGACAATAAATTAATAGCTCACACAAGTTAAAGAATCAAAATCGCCTTCAGGTTGCTTCTTGAACAACTTCGGCGAAAATCGACTACCTTAGCAGCAAGGTAAAAATATTCTCACTCTAGCTACTGCACCATCGTGTTGTTCCACAAACCAACAATAACTCACCACCAATAGCCATTGTGAGGGTAACACCAATGATGCTGCTCAACAACGACGTGGCACCAAGCATCGACAAATCGATGAAGTGATCCGATGAATTCATGTATACCGCCATAGCTGCCACATTTGCCAGGCCAAGTGCACTGTTGATAACATTACGGCCAGGCATACGTATTGCTGCACTATCTATTAAACCTGCAAAAATTGGGTTATTCTTAGTCTAGTAAGATATTTCATCAAAGTTCAGATTTTAACATATTAAAACATAGTGGCAGTGCTTAATACACTCAAGAAAACTACGCTTTGTCGGTTTATTTTGTCAGCCAAAACGCCGCCACAGAGAAAAAGAAAAGAAAAGCATATCTTGCCTTAAAAGTCAGATACACAGTAAATGTGCTGCCAGGTTGAACTTGAAGCACAAGAACCGGTGGCGCAGTGGTAACACGTTGCACCAGGACGTTTTGAAGAGTGGTTCAATTCCCTCCTGGCCCAGGACAATTTTTGAGAAAGGGCTCCGTTCATGACAATATATGATCGGGGAATACAAAATTTCTGCTTCCTAGATTTTGAAACTGGCATACAGAAAAACACATGCAAATACATAAATGATCATTTCTCAATGTGCTTTTTTTAGTTTGCACGACAAACGCTTCTTCGACCCAAAATTAAACTCGGATATTTGCTGTGCTGTGAATGCGGAAAGCATAAGATCGTAGTCAATGAAAAAGTTGTTAGCTGCGTAAATGGAAAACCACGTCATCAATTTCTGTAACTTCAATATTCCAAATAAAAGAAAAAACACACAAAAATGTTGCTTACCTTGCAGTTTTCCGTATGCCATAAGACTACCAGTGAACGTAACGCCGCCAATAAATGCACCAAGAAACAGGGCACCTTTTGTGGC